AAACTACTGAATTGTATGATATGTGAGTTATATGCCAATAAAACTATTGGGGAAAATAAATAAATAAAATAAGTGAAAGAAAAAATTACTTCTAGAAAATCCTTTAGTGTGTGGTATTTGGGGACAGCACATGAACGTTTTAAAAGTATTTTTAGGTAAAAAGATAGCATCATGGGATGGATCATCAGAGTAAGTGCTTTTGTTCAACTGTCTATTTTTTTAAAACTTAGCTATATGGGAGATAAAATTCATACTTCTAAGGAAAGTTTTTTGTTGATAAAATTAGTAGCATATTAAATATAAATTTAATACAAAATTATGATGGATTTTCTTAAGCTTGCCCACACTTTACCTCCTAAGTCTTTACTGAAAGTTGTACACACACACGTATTTCATACATATTAGTGTCCACATAGTTTCCTTGATACAACATGTTGGAACTAACTTAAGTAGCTTCAGTAAAGTTATATCATTGTAGTCAGGATTAAGAAAAATAGGATAAAAAAGGAAATTTCAGGAGGTGTCGACTTGTGGTTAATGAGGATCTGCCTATTGGCCTGAGACACTCACCTGGCAGAGCCGATGGGAGACCTGGGCTCTTCTTAGTGGCGGCTCCCAACGACTGCTGTGGAGGCTTCTCCTTCCCACCATCCCAGGTCTTCGCCTTCAGGGAGGTGCTGTGAGCTGCCCAGGGCGTCCTCTGGGGGACCTCGAAGTGTCCCCGGGTTTGGGCAGGAGCAGCAGGTGGCTTTGACTTCCGATTGTGGAGTCCTTCCGCATCAAGATCCTTTGCAAAGCCATCCTTTTCACAGGGAGCAACACGAGTCTGGTCTAGGATTTTAAATTCCCCTTGATATTTGGAGAGATCGGTATCACTGTCTAGAACTTTCTGATTCCCGGTACCTCTCCGGAGGCGGCGGCATCTCTGTTCCCAGCTTTCTAGAAAGTATGGACCAGTTGCCACCAGCGCAGAGTTTCCCTGAAGGTTTCTTAAGGTGCTTTGGTGAAAATGCAGGTCGTTGGCTGGGAGCATGCTTCTACCGTGGAAGGAGGCTGGGGCTGCAGGGATGCTGGAGCCATAGAGGAATGGTATCCCTAAACTTAGGCC